GTACTGTGAAATGCCTTTTCCCTTTTGAACACTTTATAGACTAATGAAGAGCATAGTTTAGAGAATCATGTCTGAACAGAACTGTAAAGAAATATATTATTGGACATTGCTACTGAAGGATCCATCTTACAGTACTAGCTGGATACTCGTCAGCTCAAGCCTTCACGTACACAGTTATGGTACGGTACAAATGCAAAATAACCTTATCTTACAATCAATACAACTGACCAGAATCAGTTTGAAGCTACAGAAGCTAGAAAGACTTATATTGGCTTCTCTGAGCAGCTAGATTCCACGTAATCATTCTCATAGTGATTTCTCAACATACCTGCAAGGTAGGGAAGGAATGTTTTCCATATTACAGATACTTAAATAAAAATCAAAGATAGAATTTATTCAGCAATTCAGAAAGGAAATAAAACTCTGAAGAAAGTAATTCTCATCCTTGACACTTAGCATAGCTTTGTTTCTTTCTGCAAAACCGGGAAGGAAGAAATAACACATGAGCACTTTTCCTACAAAATTGGCAATAAAAGACTCCTCCTTCAGTCATATGGAGCTGAATACATATGATTCTCCCAGACAGTCCTTATCATAGTAGCACTTAGACTGCCTATCATCCAAAAAAAGTGTCTGGAACATCTGGCACATCCCAGCATGCATACATTACAGAAAAAACAGATCTACATTGTTTTTGCACACGTTTGAGTTCTCAGCATGTACCATTAAACTTTATGTCATTTGTCAAGCTGCCTTCTGCAGCTCCAAGAACAGTTAAATAGCATTTACATCATCAGGAAGAAAATAAAAAGCAAGTTAAGCAAGTGCTGTGAAACAATGACTAACCCTAAACTACTATAATGCTTCAAATTATCTTTAAAATAAAAACTGACTACTGCCATAACATTCTCAATGACTGCCCTAAAGCAGCCATTATTTCTGTTTTACTACACAGGGAATATTGAAATGAAAGAATCTATCTTAAAAGTCATTAAAAATTAAGTCTCTTCTACACGCTGAATTCTAATTCACAAAAAATTTAGAAGATTCAATAGTTTAGAATCCGATTTCTTAATATATGATACTACAAAACAAAATATCCAATTACTTTGTAGATAATAGGCCCAGAACATTTATCACCAAGTAAACCCAAATGAGAGATCATTACCTTATTTGAGAACTTAATGTAGTAACCAGCAAGTTAAATTTCAGAGCTTTAGAAACTAGCGCAAATCTGAGGCAGTAAAACCATGAAGTTGAACACCAAGTGGTCTGGAATGAGAACTCCAATATTCCTTTTAGACAGAAGCTGGTTCCCATAGTGCAACGTGTAACTGAGTAGCAGAAAATGTACAGATCACTACAGTGTTTTAAAATGCTGAACATCAGTTTAAAGATGCAGAGTGTTTTCCATTCAAGACTTTGTGTTTTGTTTTATGGGAAAAAAATGCAAAATGAAAAATTCCTCATGTACATCTGGTCTACTGTGCAGGAGTCCTACTTGATAAGTTAATTTTCTTCAGAATGAGCTCTGGTAATACAAAACAAAAATATATTCAGATTTTAACTCTATTCTTGTAAGCCCAGAGTCTATTCCAATAGTGTATTTCAGCAATGCTATAACGGATATACTTTTGTAATATTTACATATGTCTCACTATTTAGGCTTAATCTGGTAAACAGTGTCACTTCAGAAGTGAAGCATTAGTAAACATAGCAAGTCATGTTCTAAGAAATACGCTATTGATTCATAATTAATTATAACAGTCTTGTTAATTGTTATTGACTCTTCCTCAGATTCTGTGACATGCATTGCAGAACTGCATATTGATTAAATTCGAGTTATAAATATATCCTGAAAGGGGCAGTGTTTCTTGACAGTAATATTTTACTGCAACATAGCTTTATGCATCATTTTATATCCTGGGCATACTGCCAATATTGCATTACCTAAATATCCATTTTATGTAGTAACTCTGCATCCTCACAGCAACTTATGAAATCAGTCTAATTGTTTAATTTTAGATTCCAAATCAACATTCCTTCCAAAGCATTAATCTAGTGGTGAATCTATGCAATTACCAATTTTCTAAAACTTCTTATGTCTGTATCTGGTAATTTAAACTACTGTTAAGTAAGTGCCTTTTTTTTTTGGTATGTATTTATGTACGTATGCTTAGAAAATAAAGCAATGGTTAAGCAACACTGTGTATCTCAATTTCTCCTTCCATCATGCCATACTTGTTTACTTACAAGACACTATAACCTTCCTTTTACTAAAGATGATTAAGATCCTATTTAACATTATCACCTCCATTTTCCAAAGCATTTATCTGGGTTGAAATTTTGATTTATACCCAAAAGTTGTTCTGGGCATGTGTTAAGTGTAGAGGAATTAATGGAAATTTGATTATAATGGTTCTGCAGTTTTGACTTCCATATTAAAAAAAACAAAAGAAACCAAACCAGTTTTGTCATCGGATAGTACTGCCTCCAGACAGCTAAGAAAAAACAAAACACAGACTAGAAAAGCAAGGAAAAGGTATGCTGACCTCAGACAAATTCTTTTTTTTTTCTTTAATACGAAAGTAGCAAAAGCTGTTTTATGGTGATTTGGTTAGGTAAAGTTTAGAAGTATCTTCCTTTGATTAACCTTAGTCTTGTTGCAGAATGAATTCTCGATAGAATAAAATCTCCTTATCCAAACAAGTAAATATACTAAAATGCTTATGAAAATCCTGGTAACATATTTAGATATTAAGGAAATGAGATGATCTACTTAAAACCTATATTTCTATCTAGGAATGGAACTATCTGTTATTTTTCTCTTCCTTTTTGATATCAAAATGCCATTAAATATTCTTTGATATTTAATATTTTCATTCTGGGTAGCTATCTTTCAGGATAGATACGTCAAACAATTTTTTGCTTCGCTTTTCAGAATTCTTTCAGTATTCAAAGTGGAAAGATGTTGTTAATACAAATGATTCTATACTGGCAAGAACCCACAAAACCTGTGTCAGCAACTCTTGTATACTTGTCGACTCAGTTCCTCTTGTATATTTATAAGGCAGTTGACTAAGTGCCTGAGATATTCCGATTCGTGTAACTATCTCCTGAAGGACTGCAAAGGTCTGTCTCTAAAGTTGTTCAGAAAAATTTATGGTGATAACAGAATTTATACCACTCCGTCAGTCCACAAACAATCATTTTACATGTGTCCTCCTCTGTAATTACTGCACATTATAATAGAGTTCATGAACCAGGTACTGCACTGACTTTTTGGGTAGACCAACCACTACATGTAACGTTATCTCCTCCCATGACACCACCTTTTTTCCAGTTTCCTGCATTTCCTTCAGTCCCTTTATGGTTGGCATATTATGTCATTAGGTTCTTTTTTCATAGTCATGGGAACTTAACCAACAACTACCATTATTTAAAGGGTGCAACCAACATCTTACCCCATGTGACTCATTTCCCATTCTTCAGAAGTCAGGTGAGTCAACAGACAATCATCACTCTTCCAAAAATTAACTAAACCCAGTTGATTCATTTATGAAGTTATGAAATTTTGCTTGTTTTTTTGCAGACTTGCATAATAATTTTCTCATTCATCCTAGTAAACTAGCTACTGCTTTTCTCTCTGGATTTGAAATCCTTTTCTTTGACTTTCTGATCCTGATAATATCTGTAAGAGTTTATGGACAGAATAAACATCTCCTGCTAAACAACCATATGACTTGATTTATAAACTACTTGACTTTCTCTGTAGTTGGGGAAAATGACATTCCACCTTTTCCAAAAATACTAACTTTAAGTGGCATAGGAAAGGGAAACTTAAATTTCCTGATTCAGACTATCAAATGCTGACAGCTTGCAGCAACAGAGATGAATTGCTGGCTATATTTCAAATGTATCCCCTTAGGTGAACCTTACTCAGCTCTCAGGCTTGATGCAAATACAGTCATCTTCCAAGATTTTGCTGAGAGAGAAACACAAAGTAGAAGCCCCAAATGCAAAAAAGTCCGCAGAAACTTGCTACAAGCCCTGCTTTTTCACTTACGCCTTTCTAGGAGGAAATTCACCATGATTAGAAAATATATATACCTTGAAAAGCTTCCATACAAAATGTGGGGAGGAAATAGGCAGGTTTTTTTTTTTAGTAAAAAACTGCCCTGAGGATATTAAGGTTTGAGCACAAAATACTTTGAAGTTACTACAGTATGTCAAAAGAATGGAGCAGTCCGCTCCCAAATGGTAGGACCATGAGTAAAATTTAAGAACGCCTCTACAAAAGGCAACGTACACATACAAAGCGTGAACAGTGAGAACTGATCTCTGAAAGGCTGTTGATTATTTCAGGATGTTCAAATCAGTACAGCAAGATTCTGCACTAGCTGACAGTCATGAGAACCTAGTGTTTTTTCATGGCGGCTACGAGAACTGGCCAGTCATTCGTCCAATGAAGTATATCGTCTCCACAATTTTAAGTCCAAAATATTTCCTCTATTATCAGTATGAACAAATTCATATTACTAGACTGTGGCCATGGTACTGCAATTTAAAGAAACAGTAACTACATTAAGCTTGTCTGTTTTTACAAGACATAGTGATTGAAGTGGAAATATAAAAGCATATAAACTAATCTATAATTAATTATTATCAGAGGCTGAGTATGGGATCCTTACGAACCTTTGGAAAAATAATACGGTCAAATTAAACTAAACTCAGTGACACTGAGTTATTAAGAGCACTATTTTACTTAGAGCATCTGATACCAGATGGTCTTTGCCTTACATTTTTCTGTTCTGTCTAGACTATTCTTATGTGAAAGCTATCATGATACTGACATTAAGCAACTTTCTTGGACTATAAAATACAATATTAAAACATAAAGTAGAAGAATATGCCTTTATACCTCTATCAGTCCTAAAAGGAAAACATTTTAGTGTTTTTCCATGTACTTCATGTAATAAGGTTTTTTGTTACGTACTTACGTGATAAAGTGGAACTGTATTATTTTCCGCTAGTGAGAAATTCAAGATATCTTGCTGTCCAGGTTCAAGCCTAACATTAATAGTAGATGTCAACACAGATGGACTAATAGGGTAGTTTGGACTGCTTGTGTTTTTGCCCTTTTTTCTTGACCTATGGCCTGTGTCCCTTTTGTTGTCTTTTTGTGTCAAAGGTTCTTCTTGGATAACCAGTATCTTGTCGTCACTCAGATACCGCAGGAGTGAATTCTCAGAGTCAGTTGTTGGAGGGAAAAAAAGAAAAAGAAAAACATTAGTAAGAGGAAACAACCAGAGAACAATTTTAGCTGCATCTGTATTGTCAGCTTAGTTAATTCCCCACTTCATCTGAGGCTCTTTCCTCTGCCAACTTATTTGTACCAAGGTTCCAATCAAGAGCAAACTAAGTAGTTTGCACAAAACCTAGGCACAGAAAAGATGGTGGTGCGTACCCGGGTCCTTGCATGACAGATAGCATGAAGCTAGTCCACATCATATGGCTTGTGTAACAAAGAAAATGTACATACAGCCACAAAGTTTCAGTGAAATGTCAAAGATCATCACTTGGTACTGTTAAACTGCAAAGAGTCGTGTGAATGTCAAGTGAGTTGTGGGGGCTTGCACTGGACTTGGTACCACATTTACTGACACCCCCTGCCATTTGAGGAGAAAGTGAGCATACACATAAAATACTTGTAAATTTTATTCAAGCGGGAAGCATCTCTGGAACCATTCCACAGACACGGATTGTAATTTCAAGGAACCTGACAAAATGGAATAATGGTCTTAAGGAGATGTGCAGTATACTTGGGCAGAATTTCAAAATCAGAACCGGCCAGGCAACAAGTCTGAGGACAGGAATCTGGCTGTAACTGTGAAATACAAACTAAGCATAAATCAACAGATTTGGAATAAATCAGAAAAGACTTGTGCCTTAAATGAAATTTATTTTCTCTTGGAATGGAAGATTACTGAAAAAGGTAGTTTAAAATCCTGCATTAATTTTCAAGAGTATCATTCAGTTTTGTCATATTATAAGTAGTCAAGTTGAACTCCTCGCAGCTACCCACACTGTGCCTAAAAGATTCTGAAAAAATAGTATTTAAGAACATTTAACAACTGGCATGACAATAAACACATTTGCATATCTGAAGAATATTCTTTTGAATGATATAATTGCTTTTTAGCAGAGGAATAAAAGGAAAAAAGGAACTTTGCTATCACTGTGCTTCTTCCAAAGTTCATAATTCCCACTGGAATCAATAGAAATGTATATGATTAGGACTGCTGCTCTGAACACTGACAGTACAATTGCTGATTCTGGTTTCAAATATTCATTCATACTAATCAAAATGTGTCTCAAGGGACATTAACTTGCATCTATAACATCACTTATTGTTTACTAGAACTGTGAAGATTAAGAACTGATTGCTATTAACATATATCTGAATCTTATAAGTCTTTTTTCCCCTTGATGTTCATCTATCTCTATATTAGAATTAGATAGAGGAAATCCCTCCTACTAATACAAACTTTTTCATTTTCAGGAATAGAAACACAAGAACCCGCATACTAAACAGGCTCTTTTGTATTCTCTGTGGCACTCAAAGAAAAAAAAGGTTTGGTTTCTGTGATGGTATCTTCATGCTTCTTAAGCAACAATGAAAAAAATCTTGGAGAACAGCAGAGAAAAAAAAAATACTCACCTCTGCTATCCCTCTTGTACAGGTTTTGTTCTTTTGACTCCCCTATCCAACTGTACTCAGTAGGCATAGAAACAGGCCTTAAATCTCCTGGAAACAATTCAAGATAAACCAATATAATTTTTTAAAATTAAAAATAGAAGGCTGTAGAGTAAGTAACGCCTATCAGTTAGAGGTATGACATGACCCTTCAGAGCAATCCTTTTTATCATCACTATACATTATTAAATTGTAGCATTCAGGATCAATTAAACACCATATATACCGGATTCTCTTCTTCATTATACCGATCTGAAGGAAAGTACCAGACTTTGGTGAAATTACTTGCAATCGTATAGCAGATTACAAATTTATTTTTAAACTCTGTTCTGTAAAAACTTGCTCACTCATTAAATAGATGTTTTGGAATAAAGAAAGAAGCAGTTTTTAAATGGACTAATGTGCTTTAGTAAAACTATAAAGATTTTTAATACAGATACAACATTACATATCTATCAGTTACACAGTAAAACCTATCTGACCTGGAAAATCCCATGGTGAGATCTCATAGTTTCAAGGAACATTAATTTCAAATGCCTTAAAAAGAAAACACGGAGTGCAGTTTGGTAACAACGAAAAAAGAAGATTCAGACACTAAGGTTTTAATTAATATGATTTTATGGCACTATGGCTGTAAGATATTAATGTGCATTATTCATTCACTACTATGGTATCAGCAGAACAGTGATAGCAGGCCATTAAATGAGGAATACTACAAAACTGACTATAAAGCATTAGCACTTTGGCCTTGTCAGCGTGCATTATTATCACAAAACACAGAAACACACCCTCTAGATTATGGGTTAAGTTCTTTCTGACCCATAAAGCCAAAGACTCCTTTTTCTGTATGCCAGCTGACTAATTCAGTGTGTCTCTTTAGCACCCGAGCAATTTTTTTTAAAGCAGTTTGCTACTGCTCTGTTTCTAAGATAATTATAGAATTTAAACCTGAACAAAAGTTTCTTTTTCATTATCAATTTCCTCAGGTTGATTAGAGTGACAAAGTGTATTCTGTGGATTATTTGTATGCTAATATAGTTTTTCATCCGCCATTTTTCCAAAATACAGCTTTTTAGCTGCTAAAATATTAGGAGGATTTAAGAACAAACAGGTATATAAGACAAGTATGCTTCAGAATAACATGATTTTCTGAATACTGAAGGGGTAACATATACCTAGCGTACTGAGATTTTCCCATATTATACTTTTGCTCATACCATAAAATTTAGTGTATAACTAATTGTATGGAAAATATATGTAGTTTCCCTGTCTGCCTAACAGTTGAAATTGTCTTTAACTACAAATGTATTATTCAACTCCTAATGTCAAATTTGGTCTTAAAAGAACAATATTAATTAAGAAAAAAAAAAAACAAACAAAAGGAAGAATCAGTAATATGGAAAAGAAACAACTAAAGTTTATACAATAAAAAACAAAAATCTGAAAATAAGAATGCACATAATGAATAAAGATCAACATAACAAAACTTAGCAGTATTTCTGTAAAGAGAAGAAAGGTCTGAAGCTCTGAAGAGATTTGTAACTCAAATGACAGAAGCCACAGCACGATCGACATAAAAAATAGAAATTTCTGACAGGAAACATACAAGCCAAACAAAGGAACCAGTGATTTTGCATACCGCTTATTTTACTTCCAAGTTCTTTCCCAAACAAGTGTAACCTATAAACTGTTCTAACATTGAAACTTCGGTATTTTTCTGAATAGAAAATCATTGTGTACAAATTGAAAGAAAAAAATAACACTTATTTATGATATTTTTGCCTCTTTAGCACATAAACAGAAGAGATTTGATATGCATTGCCACAAGAACTCTAAATACCATAGCATGTTAGCGTCAGACTAATATTAGAGTATCACTCTTAGTAAAAATAAAATGCACTGCAGAAAAGATAAATACAAGCTTAATTTTCACAAATGATTTGAGAAAATGGACTTCTTATTTGCCTCCTTGGATTTTGCATATATTATATGTTATACTGAGGGTCTCACCTGCCTGAGTATCCTTCCACCTACCAGCTGCAACAGAAACTGGTTTCTAATAATTGCTTTAATTCTGTTAAGTCCATGGCAGGAATTTCTGAACTGTGCTTTGTGTGAGTCCTAGCAGTAATGAAAGCATCTGCTCAACCATGAAAGACTTCAGAAGTTTTATTTTCCTTCCTTTGCCCGTGACTATCTGATTCCAGCATCAGATACGTGTTTATTTGATCTACCATAAATCCTGTCTTTCCACCAAAAGATGTATCGTCACTTTGATGGTTCAAATGTTCATCTTTCAGCCAAAAAGTACAAAACATTCTACGACAGTAGAACAATATTTGTCTTTGGAAGTCTGTTAATTGACAGATTAATTTAATCTCTAGTTTAAAAAATTCTGGTTTAACAATTGTTTTTGAAACAAAGGCATATTCCTGAGACTTTAAAATCAAATTCCTTCTAGCTTTTCAAAGTTACAGAAAATCAGAACTGTCTATTATAACCACAAGAAAAATCTTGTGTATTACTGGGATCAGGCACAGAGCCCAGCATTTTAAGTCATCATGCAGCATGAATTTATGAAAGCAAGCCAAAAACATCCATCTGGCTCCAATTTTAATCACAGTTAAGATTTATCTTTCATTCTAATTTTATTATAAAATGATGTCACTTATCAGGCAGATAAAGACTGAATATAACTAGTCTTAAGAAGGAATCCTACTCTTTGGTGTTACAGCTCTTCCAAGTATCAAGCATATGGCTGTACAAGTTACTAAAAATATCCTACAGATTACAAAGGTCTATTAAAATTTCCCTATTCAGAAAAGGTAGTGTATACACGATCCTGTCCATTTTACAATTGGTATTTTGCCATTTTTTACGATAAATCCAGCTGCAGTTACAAAAACAGGGCGGAAGTTTTGTTTACTTGATAACCATTTGCTTTCAGAGTATTAGAATGACAAAACCACAATGCTTGGGAAGTTGGATGTCCTTTGTTGGGAAGGTCTAGCTACAGTGAATTGTCACTCTCTAGCTGCAGTGAACTATCATTGCAGCTTGACATAATTTGAAGTATCCTTGCAGCTGGCATATTTTCAGACTTGAATTCTACCCTCTCAGCTCTCAAAGCAGCAGGTAAAATTACTTAACTGTTACTCGTTAGCCAAAAGGTAATGCAGTTGAAATCTTAACCCAGGTAAGCTGTGTAAACTATACCACAGATATCTCACATATAATAAGAAAAACTCAACAAACATTTATTGACAGAGGAAAATACTTGTACATTTTAACTATCAAAATCTGTTGGCATCTGAGGCCATCAGTTGCCCTCTCTTCTAACATTTGTGGTGTTAAGAACACCTCAGTCTGAGAACAGGGAAGAGAAAGCTGCATCGTCTCTAAGTACTAACAACTGAAAGCAGCATGGGAAACTACATTTAATCACATCCATGGTATCAAATCCTGCACCAGAGACTAACCGGTTCTATGGCAGACCAACAGAATCAGTGCCTGGAGTGCTTAAAAATTTTTCTTTTTTTCCCCAACTGTGTTCCATTTCAGCTGTTATTGGATCGTCTGCTATAACCGCCTTTGGTATTATCTCCATTGAACTGCAGCATGTTTTTATTACCTGTGTTCTTCACAGACACATTGTTCTTTACTACTCTGAGCTTGTGAGCGGTTTTCCCTTTCCTAGATACCAAAGACAAAAAATTTAGGAACTTTTTTTTTTTTTTTTTTTTTTTACAAAATGAGAGAAAGGAAAAAACCTTAGTCTCAGAGTAGGTGAATGAAGTACTTATTGATGGCATCACATGCATATATATACATATCTATACATATATCTCAAAAGATAGAACCTACTTATACAGAATGCTATGATCAGAAGGAGTCAGTGCTTTCTCTGAGGCTCAGAAATAATGCCATTTTCAAAATCAGATATAATTACAGTTTTTACAAGTCTGTAAACTTTACAAAAATAACTTACTGCCTTGAAAATAAAACCACTGCAAATATATGGAGAATACACTGCTGCATTTCAGTAGTATTCTAAAATTCTCCAAACACCAAATCACTTTTAACAGATAAGCGAAATAAATTTTCAACAATTCATTTTCAGCAATACCTTTTATATAGATACATATACTCACATACAAGCACATACATGTTTGTATACCTGTACACCCATATGGATTTACACACACATGAAGTTTCTATATAAAAGCAGAATTTATTTTTGTTTTAATAGCATCTTATATATTTAAGCAGTCCCCATTCTAAGATTTTGAAATATGTTTCTAGTATTAACAAATGCATTGCAGGATACTGCTCATGTAATTATATCCATTTAATACAGCACTGAATTTTAGAGGGCCTTACATTTTATAGATACTTTCATACCACAAGTAAGTCTTTTCAGGCCCTCCATTGAAGTTTAACAGTCCAGAACATTGCAACTAGAATAAACTCTAAGAGCTTGTAAATGCAGTTGAGTAAATCAAGATGCTAGCTCTATCCAAATAATATGAACTTAAGTATCATTCAAAATTTTAAATATGCACTGCAGAATAAATCTATAAATAACTTACACACTCCTGATCCTGAATGTTAGCTTGTAATCATTCTAATTATTCTTTCACATAAACCTTTGTCTAGTTTCAGAGCCAACAGGTCTAACAAAGGTCAATGGTCTAACAAAGAATGACAGATATTTGGGGGTGTTGCAGTGTTAATAGCAAAATTTGTAAATCTGGTCAATACAAAAACGTTAAAGAAATCAAGCCTACCGTGAGTAGGTGTTTTTTCTCTTCTCCGCACTCCTGTAGCTCTGCTTCTCTCATACTCAGAGCCCGCAGGGTGGCCTTCACCTTCAATTAAGGTGTAGTATTTCCCACTTTCATGCTCCAGAAAATAGCTTGGAGTCTCAGAGCCTTTCATTCCAGACTTTCCAAATTTGCTGATGTCATCACAAGACATTATTCCAATGTCATCCCTAAAAACAGTAAACCAGAAGATTATGGAGAAGTTAACCATTGTATGATAAAGCTAAAGCATACAACTGTCTCTCCCAAACACTACAAATAAAAAGTCCTGCAATTGAAATGCTATATGTGAGAACTTTCATAAAAGTGATTCAATTCAACAAATGTAAACTAATGACATCATCATTAGGTTCCATTTTAACAGTAAGGTAAATATAGTTATTCAGGAGTTTTCTAGTATCTGAAAGGGAGCAGAAGGAATTGATATAACATGAGAAGGCAAGAGTTTCCCTTGCAGAAATGCATGCTTTAGAACAAGATACAAGTGGTTACATAAAAGTAAACAAAACTAAATGATCAAAGACTTCTTTAAATGCTTTCTTGGTTTAGGACTAAAGCCAGGTTTTGCTCAACTTGTATTGAGCTAAGTGAAAGTTAAGTCTCTCAAAATAATGATATGCTGCTTAATGTATTTCTAGCTCTTAATTTCAGTAAATATTTAGTTTGATCATAGGGCTTTTTGTTTGTCTGTTTTTACTAATCTAGTGAAATTAAGGTGTAAAATTTTATTTTTCAAAACCTCAAATTCATTAGGACGTAAATACCTGGGGCCATAAAGTCCTGACATAGGAGACAGAATGAAAACATCCTGAAGTGCAGAGTTCTCCATTTTTGAAGATATGCCCATTGTACTTGTTGGTGTTGTAGAGCTGCTTGTTGGACTGGTTGGAATTACAGGCTGGAAAAAAAAAAAAAGTTTTCTGTGCTACAAGTAACAACGAAGTCAATGTGCATAATTTTAGGAATTTTGACCTCTTTTTTTGGATTAGCCATTTTTGCGAATTACTGAAGTTTCTTCCAAAAAGATGTCCACTGAAACACCTTTTTATCAAAGAGTTCAAGACTAGTTATGAAAGAAACTGCTAAAAGACCAGTAGTGAACTTAATTTAAAAACCATCCCATGGAAAAATCTGAGATTCAGAATCAAAATATGATTTTTAACCAATGCAGAAAATCAATTATAAAAGGAGGAAGGACATACACTATTAAGTGCCATTAATACAAAAATTAATTACAGAACTCTGCAATACTTGCACTGAATGAAAGTGTTCATAACCACAATGTTGGTTTCAGTAGATTTATCATTAACAAGGACAGAATACCTAGATTTTTTTAAGAAAACAGAATTCATAGTCATCTATTGTTTCTTATTTTTTACTGAAACCATAGCTGTGATGCTTGTACCACGATGATACAAATATAAGTTCTATGGTGACCACCAATGAAATATAAATTAACCTAAGCAACAAATGCGAGCTTCATAAATATTAATGGTACTAATAAAGTATGGGGGTCTTTGGGGATTTTTGCTTTTTTAAATTTTTAAATGAAGTTAAACATAATTTTTTTACTCAAATGCCATACAGAAGCTCAAGACAATGGCTATAAGGACTACAACCAAATATTCTGTGCAGGATACAAAGATATATACACAAAGAATATTCTTCAATCAAGGTACAGTCTGTGTTTATATTCAAGAAATAGAAATCATTTTTATTTGGTATTATTGCTTAGATTATTTATATGAAAATGTCTCATTCAAATACAAAATTGTGTTTAAATAGATACAACTAGTTCTCTACAGGTGGAAGGAAAACACAGTGACCTAGAAATCAGAAAGCTACGAAGACCAGTTATAATCTTTTTCTAAAAACAAGGCTTTCTATCTTCTAGAGATAAACACTAAAATTATTTTTATGTGATTCAACAAGTAAAAGCAATCCTAAATACCAAAAAAGGACGTTTTTTCATGAGAATATCAGTCTGCATAGAGGTCCAAATTATACTACTTTTCTATGTTTATTGTTAAGCCTCTTATACTCTGATCAAATGTTTTAGGTTTCTTTTGTATTATCAATATAAATAGATAAGAAGTGACTGCCAAAGACAAGAATCATTCACGACTTACTTTCTCATATCTTTGGAAATTAGGGCCTACCACCTTATACACAGTATCAACCACTACATTTAGAATACTACCATTATTTCTGCAGTTTTGGTGTGGCAGTATTAGTAAAGAGACTAAAAATACAAGATATTCTAGTAATCCTCCAATTTACCTGCAGCTGGATACAGTTTCATATGAGTCAAAACATAAATTATCACCATCACAGAAAGACAAGCAGAAACTCCATTACAAAATCAGAAAAGAAATTACCTATACGAAGTCTCTCGTGAATAATTTATTTTCGATGGTTGTATATTCAGTGGTCGTCAAGGTTACAGGTTAGTCAATGAAGTTGATAATAGAAAAAAAGCGTGGGGAGAGATAATATGACTGTTCAATTTGCCTCCAAGGAGGCTGATAGCCATGCTATTCTTGATAGATTTTTTTAAAAAACTAACCTTATAGCCATGTAATCTTTTTTGCTTCAATTTAATTCAATTCTTGTCCTACCCATCCCAGAAAGTGAGAACTTTCCTTCTCACTCTTCTTTAACTTTTTATTTATTTTTACATTCTAAATACTGTTTCCCCTTCTTCTTATTACAAGAAAAAAACCCTAATTCTTCCCTTATAGGGCTTGTTTTCTAAAACAGTAATGAATTGCAGCGTGCTCTGTACTTTCTCCAACTGATTAGACTAGGTGTACCCAGTGTATACTAGGTGTACTTGGTACCCAGCTGAGATTATACTAATACTGAATACAGCACAATAATTATTTCACTTATCTTGTGTTTTATATTCCTATTTATGTCTCTCAGTCAGGTATTTGAGTTCCTTCCAACATGACATTCAGCTTTTTCTTTACTGTAATTTCACATTATTTGGAATTATCGCCATATAATTCAATCACTACATTTGTTAAAACTGCAGTTGATTATTTCCAAGTAGAATACTTTACCCTTGCCCCTCTCTCATTTCATTACATTTTTAGAGCTTTTTTCTAGTTTTCCAAACTAGAATTTCCAAATTTTTAATCACCAACCAAGACCCCATTGCATTCGCAGGCCCTCCTGGTTTATCACTGTGTGCAAATTTAATAAGCAGATCCTTCAGGATGTCAGGAAAACATGGAACAAAACCACACGTATCACCTATCTGTTGAATACTAAATGATACATCCTTTGTTTGATAGTGAACCATTAACAGATATTTGTTAGGCAAGGTTATCCAGTCATTTTCCACCCATTCAATCTCAGTTTCACCTAGCCCTTAATTCTCTATGCCATACTTATGAGAATGCCACGAGAAAAGGTGTTAATATCAGAGTAGGATATACAGCTTCTCTCCTATCTACCAGGCCAGTTAACTGCTCACATAAGAGCATTAAATCTGTTTAATGATTTCTTCATAATAAATTCATGTTGCTTTTACTCATCTGTTTTCTTCCACGTGCTCACAAACTGTGCACATTAAGTGACTGACTTCTAATTCCCTGGCTCTTGCATCTCCCCTTTCTGAAGACAAGCATTATACTTCTTGTTTTTCTAACCTTACTGTATTTCATCCACCTCTCACAATTTCACAACAAATACGTTTGAAAAAAAAAAAAAATGGTC